GGTTATTGTTTAGTGAATTTAGGTATATATATGCAGGAGCGATGCTTTTGTTTACAGATCTATTGAATCTGAATGCCTTTGTTTTCGGCGTTCTCTGAATCCAGTTTTACTGCGTTAGTTTTGACAGGTTCGTGCCCTTCTTCCAATCATTTTATGGGGTGATACTTCGAAATGCTAATGGACGGTTTACTTCTCTTCTCTGATTGTATGAATGTATGTTTGCTTGTAATTTCAAATTTGTTTGCGTGTTTCGTGCATTTTTTTTTGCTTGATCTTTGTTTTATTCTTAATCCAAATTTTGTGGATTTGTTTTTGATTTTCTCCGATCCAGATTATGTACCTTTGTTTTTCGATTTTATCTGAATCCTGCTTTGGTGCCATTGTTTTTGTCAGGTTTTGGCTGTCTCTTTTATTACCATTTGGACGTGTCAGGTATATTTCTCTCCCTTTTTTGTATTATTCTTGATGCATTTGTGCATATAATTATGTGTATTTATCATGCAACTAAATCTGATATTGTATCTTGTTAGACTTATTTTCGCAAGTTAAATTTTGTGCTTGTTAAGTTGTTATGTTTATTTGTATTTTCAGTTTGGTTTTTTTCATTTACTGATATGGGCCTTTGTTTCCAATATTTATTTCATCTTTAACAGATATGCTTGAAATGCTAATGGAATGCCACTCAGATAAGCTCCTTGATTTCAGCAATGTGTGTTCTTGGGTAAATTTCTTTACCACCTCCTTGACAAGTAGTGATATATGTGCATTTTTAATCTCAGTGTGTACATGTTTGGTTTGTTTATTGATTATTGTTTATTGATAATTATCTTGTTGCTCATCAGCAAAGTATATCATATATACTTTTCTATGATATACTTTTCTATTTGTATCAGATACATGTGTCATTGTTTGTGGTTTGTTGTTGCCAGAAAATTCTAATTTCTAAAATATCTTTTATTGGTTTTGGTTATATTAGTTCGTAGATGTTTTTGATGTGTTGATTTATAACTTGATTTATTTGGTGCTTATACTCATACTTGACACCTTTGTTTTTTATTTGCAATTTTAGATTAACAATTAACAGAATCAAATACACGAAATGAAGCAGGTGATAACACTGGAAGGTGTAGCATCGTTAAGAAGGTAAACCGAACACTACTTCAGTAAATAGTAAATACGAAGGTTAAATTATTATTAGGAATCAAACGAGACCTAAAGATACCCGTAGTTCAAGTTAATTGGAAGCTGCTGAATAGAACATGACTCTTACGTCTTACTTGATGTTCAATTTTTACGTTCATGATATTTTTTTGAAGTTATATATTTGTGGAATTTTTACTTGATGTTCTCTTTTTCTTTCATTACTATTTCTGTTTTTGCTTTATTGCATTTACCACCCCTGCATTTGTTGTATTTACTTTAACTGTGACAAAGCTCCTCATATTTTAATTGTTAGCAAAAACTCCCCTATTGTGCATTTTTTTAGCAGACTACCCCTAAAAACACACCATTTAGGAGGTTGTGTGCTAAAAAATGCATCCTAGGGTTTTTTTTTTGTTAATATTTATAACAATCTCAAATTCTCAATGAGTATTTCAGCAAATTCAATATAATGCAGAGTACTAAATAAAATCTATTTCTATTTTTCAGTTAGATGTCCATTTCTCTTCTGAAATTTAACTAAAGTCTTTTGTTTTTATATAAGCAAATATATTACTATAGTTTTGTTTGGATGAATCATTTCACAATGAATTTATTAGAATTACGTCTCATTCTGAGCCTTTGTTTGATTCATTATAGTGAATTTTGTATCTAATCTCATTCTGAGCTCTCGATTGAAACTTTTCGATTCAAACACATCTTAAGAAATGTTATGCTTACGAAGTTTTGATTAAATAACCATCTGCAGTTATAGTAGTTGTCCTAAATATAAAATAATCCTAATATTGTGCCTTATGAATTAATTATACAGGATGAAATTGAGTGGGCTGTAGTAGAACCACTGCATCTTAGTTGAGGAAGGTACACAGACAATGGAAGATATATTAGTCTCTTCTTTGGTACCAACCTAACTGATGTAGTTATTAAAGGTAAAATTTTAAAAAAATGATAGTTGTATGTATTGATATAATATAATTATCTTTGTCACAAGATTTTGTGGTATTTGAATTATTAAACTTTTACCTGATTTTTTTTCCAGGGGATAATGACACCAATAATGGGCAGGGTGAATCCTGGTGAAAGAATTTCCACAAGGGAGAATTACAGTAAACTAGAGTCTCGACCTTATTCAATTATAACACTTGTTAACTAACCATTATGGAATGTTCATCCTGTCTATAGCAGGTAATCATGCAAATATCTGTTTCAATACTTGATTTTTTATTTTATTAATGCATTGAATTAGATTTTTTTTTGGACATTCTTTGAAAAGCTTTTTCGATTTTCTCTAAATCCAGTTTTGATGCCTTGGTGTTTGCCAGGTTCGATTTCTCTTATAACGTTTTCTAAGTGTGCAGGTGACTACAAATCGTCTTCCGCAAGATGACTTATGGGTATATTTCTCTATTTCTCTCCTTTTTGTTTTTTTCATTGTTACTGTATTTGTGTTTTATGTATGTGGATATATTATGCAATGATATCTGCTGGTTATGTATCTTGATGGTCTTATTTTCGCAAGTTAAATTGCATGTTTGTTATGTTTATTTGTACTCTCAAGTTTATTTTTTCACACATTGATATGGGCCATTGTTTCCTTCAGCTCCAGTTTTTTTCAACTTTTTATTTCCTCTTGAGCAGATATCCTTGAAAATGCTAATGGGGATGCCATTCAAAAAAGTACCTTGATTTCGGCAGTGTGTTTGGGTATATTTCTTTACAACCTCCTTGAAGTGCCCTGAAACATGTGTTTTTGTAATTACTATGCTTATAGGATTGGTTTGTTTTATTGATAATTATGTTTTTGCTTATAGGAGTTGGTTCCATGCAGCACTTGCTACTTGTCATTTAACTCTGCTTTTATTTTGTTGTTTCTGTCTGTTTCATGTATACTAGAGTATTGTTCTCGTTTGTAAAACAATCGAATTAATTCAGCTATACATCAGCTATACAGGGCATTATATACCGCGCGTGGCCTCACTAGTATATATATATATATATATATATATATATATATATATATATATATATATATATATATATATATATATATATATATATATATAGATTTGGAGATATATATACCTATATATATATGTATATATATATATATATATATATATCCATATATATATATAAATATCCATATATGTCTCTCTCTCTACATATATACACCCACACAAATAGAGAGATGCAGATATATTCTCTCCTTTCTATTACTCAGCATGATGGCACGCGACGCGGGTGCCAACATCCCTCCTCTCTCTTACTCTGCCAAACGAAAAAAGACGACTTATATTTCCCCCCCTCTCTTCCTTCTCCCCCCCCTCTAAAAATACAGACCCACTTTTTCA